AAAAACCCCAAACTGGTACACATGTGACAATTTTACCCCAACTAATTTTTAATATTATTTTTTTGAATTTTTTTGAATTTTTTCTTTTTTCTTTTCTTTTCTTTTCTTTTCTTTTTTTTTTCTTCACTTCAACCTCTGGTCGGTCACCAGTCCGGCCACCGGCCAGAGGAGGAAGCCGGCGAGGGCCGCCCTCGGCAGTCGCTGGCGAGGGCCGCCCTCGCTCGACTCGGCAAGGGCGACCCTCGCCGGATCTAGAAAGGGCGGCCCTCGCCGGCGTCGGGCGAGGGCCGTCCCTCGCCCGACGCCGGCGAGGGCCACCCTCGCCCGACTCGGGCGAGGGCCGTCCTCGCCCGCCCGGGCGAGGTCGCCCTCGCTTGAATCGGGCGAGGGTCGCCCTTGCCCGGGCGGCGAGGAGACCTCGCCCGACGCCGGCGAGGGCAACCCTCGCCCGACGCAGGCGAGGATCACCCGAGTCGGGCGAGGATCGTCCTTGCCCTGGGCGGGCGAGGACGGCCCTCGCCCGACGCCGGCAAGGGTGGCCCTCACCCGACGCAGGCGAGGGCAGCCCTCGCCCGATACCGGCGAGGACGACCCTCGCCCGACTCCAGCGAGGGCGGCCCTCGCCGGCTTCCACCTCTGGACGGTCGCCGGACCGGCGACCGGCCAAAGGTTGAAGATAAAGAAAAAAAAAATAAAACGAAAAAAATAAATAAAAATTCGAAAAAAATAAAAATATAATATTAAAATTTTAATTCATGGTAAAATTGTCACATATGTACCAGTTTGGGATTTTTTGTGATAAGTTCAGGGTAAAATTGTCACAGATATACCAGTTTGGGGTTTTTGATGGTCAAAAAAATAGTTCGGGGTAAAATTGTCACAGGTGTACCAGTTTGGGGTTTTTTATGGTCAAAAAAATAGTTTGGGGTAAATGTGTCACAAGTGTACCAGTTTAGGATTTTTCGTGGTATTAACCCTAAAAAAAAAACCTGCAGCAGCGGCGAGGGAGCCCTCGCCACTACTGCCGCCGCCAAACCACCACCGCCGGGAAGGGCCGACGGTGGTGGGCGCAGTGGTCGGCGAGGCGAGACCTCGCCATCGCGACCCAGGCGACGGCGAGGTCTCGCCTCTCCCAGCAAAGGCGAGGTGAGACCTCGCCGTTGCCTGGGTCGCGACGGCAAGGTTTGGCCTCGCCTTTGTCCGGCGACGGCGAGGTCTCGCCTCGCCGGATCCGGCCCTCGCTAGGCTCGGCGAGGGTCGCCGGATCCGGCCCTCCCTTGGCTCGGCGAGGGTCGCCGGGCCACAGCCAGGGGCCGGCGACCCTCGCCGATCACTGCGCCCACCACCGCCGGCCCTTCCCGGCGGTGGTGGGTTGGTGGCAGCAACGGCGAGAGCTACCTCGCCGTTGCTGCAACTTTTTTTTAAAAAAAAATTAAAAAAATCGAAAAAAAGCCACGTAATTTCCACCGTGTACAAGTCAGACCATTTTTTTTTAATATAAATGCCATGTCAGCTTTTTGGCCGGAGTTACTAAAGTGATCGATTTTCCTCCGACTTGGCACCAAAGTGATCCAAAAAAAAGTTATGACACCAAATTGATCGCCGTACACAAGTTATGGCACTTCTAGTGTACTTTTGCCCTAAAAAAACAAAATGGAGTAATAAGAAATATTTCTGAATTAGAGATTTATCTAATCGTTTCCTTTGAATTTACTGAATCCGAAGGTAGTACAGGTTTTTTAATTTTGGATTGGTGGAAGAGGCACGCAAGCCAATACACAATCCTTTCTCTTATTGCAAAACAAATTTTTGCAACCCCTTGTTCCACAGTTGCGGTCGAACAAGCATTCAGTGCCAGAGGTAATATTTTGGACGAACATCATTCAAGATTAGCTCCAGAATCAGTAGAGGCTCAAGCTTGTGTCGATGATTGGACAAAGGCTCAATACCGACAAAAAGAGATAGATTGGAATAATGAATCCGAATTCTTTAACGACGGAGATATTACCGGTACCGGTACCGCTACCGGAATGGGTAGCGACGACTGAGGATAAAAGAACTGTTGGAGTTGGCAAATATTTCGGGGACCCTTGTTTCTCATACCGGGCACGCCCACGTGAGTTTAGGGAAACCGAAGTATAATCCGACGACATGTGACCCCTGCGCACGGAATGCGAGGATTCGGATAGGCTTAGGTTTTGGGGTCGTTTTAGGGCATATATATTGTGCTCCTTTTTTTTTATAGACCATTGTAACGAATTGTAAGGCGCTTAATGATAATTTATTAAGTTCAAGCCCCCTCTTTCTCTCTTTTTGTCTCCAAATTTGATTACAATCTACATTTTGATTACAATTTATATTGAATAATTCATTATTTCATAATTCATTATTTTTTTATTTCATAATTTATTTTTTAAAATTTTAAATTATGAACCGGAACCGGCAGAAACCGGAATCGGAACCGGCCCGGAACCGGAACCGGAACCGGAACCAGACTGGAACCGGCCGGTTCCGATTCATACATGGCCACGAACCGGAACCGCCAGTTCCGAACCGGAACCGGCCGGTTCCGAACCGTGGCCATGACTACTGTCAGCCGCCTTGAGCCGCTGGCCGCTGCCCCCCGTTGTCCCCCATTGCCGTGATCTGCCGCCGTGCTCCGCCGCTCGACACTAGCCGTCACCAGGCGCCGATTGCCTACCATCACCAACCGCCTCCCACCGCCTCCCGCCACCGGTCGCCTCCCGCCATCGGTCGCCTCCCGTCGCCGATCGCCTCCTGCCGCCATCCTCCACCGCAGCCTATCGACCGCCTCCCACCGCCAGCCACCATCCTCCGTCCCCTGCCGTCACCTGCCTCCCACCGCTGGCCACCGTCCTCTGCCCCCCGCCGACCGCTTGGAATGGAGAAATGTTATGTCGTTATCAAATAAATTTCTATTTTAGAAACAAAAATTTTGTGTCGTTATCAAACGCCCATTTTTGCTCAGAAACTTATCCGGGAAACAGAAATAGAAAAATCTATTTGTGGCCAAAAATTGATTTCTGGAACAGAAATGTTATCATGCGCGCCCTTAGTAAGTGCTTATGTAGTTTGGATAAGAAGACCTAGATATTCCTTTGACAAGTTTTTATTAATCAAAAGGATTTAGCAGCTAGCTTCAAGCTTTGGCATTTAGTAATAAAGAACGGGAATAAAATCGAATAAATTGTTGACTCAATCAAAGGAATGGATTATTAACATATATAATTGACTCTATTCGGGGAAAACTCACTATTATTAGGAAAATCCGATTTTATGGGGAGATCTGATTGGAAGATTCTCCAACGGCTAATTTAAAGATCGAAGATTATATAAGATCAATACGTGCTAGAGAATATACGAAAAAATTAAGAAACTACAAACTTATATATATTCACATTCTCTCTATACTATGAGCGTTATTTTATTCACTTAAGTTATGCTCTTTTGCAGACTGTTATTACTCATTGTAATATGTGATTTGAAAAGTGCACAAGTATATAAAGATTGTGAGATGAGCCAACATATTTTGTTGGAGTTCTTTTTGGTGGGATCCAATGCTTCACACCATTATATATCACAATCAGATGAGCCAACATATTTTCTCCTGCCAGGTCTTGATTTCAATATAGGTAAACTCATAGAATAAAAATGGAAAAGAACAAAACACCTTCATTTTTCAACCAATAAAACTTCTTTATAGTAGAAATCTATTTGCGAAACCAGACCATTGGTTTCATTGGCCCACTGGAAAACCAGACACCCAAGAATCGATCACCCCTTAGACCGGTAATAAAAGATTGAAGGGAACAAGAGAGAGCCTGTCTTCAAACTTCGCGCTAAATTTAATACCATAACATCGAGAAATTGGCATTCCATCATCTGCAACAAAATAGCAACAGCCCGTGTTTATACTTCACTATTTGTTCATAGCTATGCAGAAGGCAAGGCACTTGTAACAATGATTCAAACACAAACCTTACTACGAGCACCGACCATGCTGCAAGCATAAAGATAAGAAGATGTAAGTATGCTTACAAAGTAACTTAGAAGTCAAATAGGCCGTCAATGTCGTCGCTTTCGGCAAGAAACCTAACATTTTCTCGCGGCCAGCAAGCCCCAAAATCCCGACCCAATGGGTGATTGAACAATGTGATAGGTGAAACGAAAAGATGTGAGCTCGTAATCAACAACTCACTTGAATCAAGATCTCGTTCTCGATAAATCTTCAAGAGAGAAAGACCTTCGAGAATCCTAATTGCTTGATTTGTCCCTACATCATCCTTCATAAACCAAGAAAGAGAAAGAGAGTTATAAAACGACAGTCGTTTTTCTTTGAGGAGCACGTCGCCTAATTTCGACGAAGCACTTTCGGACTAACTTAAGCCACTCATATCTCCGGTCAGCTCCGTTTTGGATGTCGTTTTCCGCGCGAGTCGTCACGTCGAACTTTTGCACAGTCGACTTGATGGAATTGTGACGGAAGGTAATCTTTGAATCCCAAGTATAAATTTGAGATATGGTGACATGAGGTGTCAGTGTCGTAATGCAAAATATAAAAAAAAATTCGAATTAATACCACGAAAAACTCAAAACTAGTATATATGTGATAAATTTACTCCAAACTAAATTTTTTACCATCAAAAATCCAAAACTGATATACTTGTGACAAATTTACCCTCTTTTAGTTTCCATTAAATTGGTTAATACCACGAAAAGCCATAACTGACCCCCAAACTGGTAGATTCATCAACTGCACGTGTCATCCAACTCAGTTTTTTTCGTAGTAAAATTTTATAAAATCTAATTTGTCAAAGGTATACTGATTTTGGATTTTTTGTAGTTAAAAATTAATTTAAGGTAAATTTATTTATATCTAATTTGAAAATTTTCGGGGTGTTGACCTATATTTTTATGCAATATTTTCCATTTTTTTACTAACGACTCGCGAGATAAACCGAAGAAAAACATCTCCTTAGTTCCTCATCCTCTTCCTCGCCGAAACACCATGACAAAACCCCTGTGAAACATCTCTCCTCTATACCCCACGAACCCCAATGTCGTCGTCGATGCTCTTCTCGACCTTCTCCTCCTCTCCTCCTCCTCCCCGCGCTCCCGTTCGCCTCCCTCGCCGCCCGGCCCCGCTCGTCCTCCGAACCCATGTCGGGTCACGCTCCTCGGGTCGTCCTCCCGAAGCCGGGACCCCGCCGGCGCTGAGCCCGAAGCTGAGCTCGGCCGGACCCAATGGGCACCCATTGGGGTCCCTGTACGGCGGAAGAGGAGGAAGAGGAAGAAGGGCCGCGGCGTCGTTCGTGTCGAATGCGGAGAGCGGGGGGAGCGGCGAGGTCGACGAGGCGGAGAGGGCGGCGCGGGGGCAGAGCACCATGCCCGAGAGGTTCAGATACTTGAACAGAGAAGCCCCTGATCCTCCGATTCGCTGGCCCTTGTTCGTAGGTAGGGGATTGCATTTTCAAGACACCCTTGTGGGTTACTTTCATCCGTTCTCCGTTTAGTTTCCATGGGTGATGATGTTCTATCTTGAGTTTCGTTTCGGCATGTTGTTGCTGTCTGCTTAGGGAGGGAGCTTTTGGGATTTCGCCAAACGTGAATACTAAATGATTTTGCTTGAAGTAGTGTTGATTCATCAAGAAAAAACTGAAACTTGATCTTGATGGAGTGAAATTTTGGATAAACAAATCAGGTGGGCTTTCGACCTGCATCGTAAGTGAGGAAAGATTTTCTTTTTCCTCTTCTAATTGCTGCGACTTCATTTCTGGAGTATTGCCGTCTATGTCGGCCAAGTGGGTCTGATTTTGAGCTATGGCCTCTCACCTTAAACCCCGGTAAGATGTCTGATGTCATCTTAAACTGAGTTGGTTAGGAGGTCAACTAAGTTGGATGATCCATGTGGTTTGCTGTCTTGTTCGCATTAAGTTGCTGATTTCCTGGGCAAATTGCACCATGCCCCTCCTTCTGGGAGTGAAGTCCAAGCAAGCATTTAGAATTTGATTTGACACCCTAGAGTTTGAAAGTTCCACCATACCAACAATCAGTTTACCCTATCAGTCTTCCGTCTATACAGGGACCTTAATTCAAGTTTTCATTTGATTTGTTCTGTTTTCTTGTCTCACTGCAGAAGTTCCTTGACCAAAGCTGCAAAGTAGCTGTAGTGGGTGCTCTGCTGTTTTGGCCAACTGCTTCAATTAAGATAATGCCTGTGTCGGTTTTGTGCTTGAGAAAAACAAAAGGGTGCTTTCTCTCTGATGTAAATGCGTAGAGCTAACCTACTAGTACTTAGGAATCATAACCATGAAATTTTCTGGAGCAAACAAAACAAAGTCCTTGCATGTGAATATCCAAGTCCAAAGCTTTTTTTTTATATAAAAGCATAATATTTTGTCTTTCTTCAACTTTTGGTGATTTTCAGATATTAAAAACTGAGTAAAGAAAAAATTGTTAGCGGGGATTAGCAGCAGAAAATCAATTTGTGAATGTTCGATAAACTGGTCTTAATTATTTGTGCTTGGTTTTTTGATGGCTTGTTGATTTGGGTTGTTTATAACGTTTGACCATGGTTCTTGTTCTTCTTGTATTGTCTTGATTGTACTTCATGAAACCACTAGTTGTCGTTGATCTTATCATCAATCATTTTCATCATTTTGTCAAAACGCCTTTCTAATCAGTCTTTTTTCAATTTGCAGCATTGCCTTTCCTTATTTATGCATGGAGAGCAGTTCTCTTTGAACTGTCTAACTGGAAGAAGGCTGCCTTGGCAATTGTTGGTTTTGTGGGATACCTCTTAAAACTTGCCCTAGCCCTTATCTTTCGTTTTATTGGCGATCCAATCACTTCCACAATTAGATGTATCGAAACTGCAATCTACTCTGTCCGGGCCTTTTACTCTGGCATAGTAGCATATGCTCCTGTCCCCGAGTTGACTGTGATCATTATGTTGGCATCAGCAGTGCTAGCCATTGGAGAGGCTGTCGTTCCAAACTGTGTTTCTAGTCAGCCATATTCTCTTACGGTAGCTGGATTGATTGGTTATGCAGCTGTGAAAGGCTACATCTCTGAGCCAGTTTTGTGGACTTCATTAGTGGGATTATATGGGTATTCACGTGTTATTAAGAAGAGAGATGATGTTTCATCTATGTTACCCGCTGCAGCCGTAATGGCTGCCATAGGGGAGCCTTGGGTTAGGGTGGTGGCAATAGCCTCATATCTCGCATTAGCTATATCTCATCATTCAAGGAAACTCTCAGAAGGGAAAGAAGTTGAAGAAGTAGTGACAAACAGGAGGCTTCCAATGCCCTTGTTTGCAGCAGCGTTAGCCATTGGAATCCGTGTTGCTGCTAAGTGGGTTGGATACCGGCATTTAACCTGGATGATAGTCTGATTTGGAGGACTTCTAGGCATTAATTTCTGTGATGGGCTGCAGCGGCAAGTTAGGCAAACAACTGATAAGTGAGTCATTTTTTTCCCCTTTTGAGGGTCCAACAGGTTTTCTTTTGTTTTCTGTGTTCTTTTTGGAGTCTGTAAAATGGGTTAGAGTAGGACCTTTGTCCTCTTAACGGGGCTTAGTGTGATAACATGGTTGTAAATTTAGGAGACCACAGTGCTGACACCCGCGCCCCCCGCCCCCCCTTTGCGCTGTATGTGGTAGCTCTCTTATGCAGAAATTTTGCAATGAATTGCGGTGTACCCTAAGCTTCAGTTTTAACAGTGGTATTGCTAAAACAGTCCACTTTCGCATGCGAGACAAGCTCGGCTGCAATTTTACCCTGTTAGATCCATATATTGAGAGGTTTCGATTGCTTGTGCTAAAATGCTGTGCAGCAGTTTAGCCTTCATCTGCGCTTTGTTGGAGGTTGGATCTTTGCATCTGCAACATCTTTATCTTGTTTTCGATGGGTGTCATGACATAAAAAAAAAAAAAAAGGCGAGTCGTGGAGGCACGAGTGATTTCATTATCCCTTTAGTCTGATCCTATTGAAAAGTTTATCTTCCCTTTATTCTCAAATGAATGTATTTCCCAACATCCTCACTTTAGTCTGGTCCTTTTAAAAAGCTCAAACAAATTTCCTCTCCAACATTTCTCCTTGTAGTCTCCATTTGTTTAGTAAAAAATAAATTATTTCAAAAATATTTTCTTAAAAATGATCGTTTGTGTCCCTTAAAATAATTAGTTAATAAAAAATATTTTCATGTCGATAACAATTTATGTTTAAATAGTTTCGTGGACGATAGAAATATTTTTCCTTCATTCCTTTTTGCACGCAATATGAGTTATCTTTTTTAAGAAAATATTTTTCAAATCATTCATTTTCTCCCAGACATCCTTCGTTTAGTCCTATCCTCTCAAAAAGCTCAAAGAAAATCCAGTATTCAGCTCAAAGAAAATTCTTCCCCAAAATCTTCTCAAAGAGATTTCCGGCCCCAACATTTTCCCTTTAATCTAGTCTTTTTGAAAAACTTGAAAAAAATTTCGCAGCATACATCCTACCTTTAGTCTTAAAGAAATTTCCCTCCTAACATCCTCTCTTTAGCCCGATCCTCTAGAAAGCTCAAAAAAAGCATCATCCCCGACATCCTTTTTTTTGTCCATTCCTCTTAAAGAGCTTCAAGAAATATCCTCTCTAACATCCTCCGTTTAGGTCTGCCCTCTTAGAAAGCTCAAAAACAATTTTGTCGTAGGTTAGGGATCCATCACCTTAGAATCCTTTAGAAGCACCCTTGCCTATATGTCCAATTTGTGTAGGAAGAAAAGTTCTATTTTCGTGGAATTTAGTATATGATTTTGAGGAACTTTTGCATGAGTAGTTTTCCATGAGGAAAAGTAGTTTCAACTTGTTCATAATTAATATTTGGTCTTGACACAATTAGTTGATTTTCCCATTGAAAAGTCGAATTCATATATCATGTAAATAAGTTAACATTTTCTCTGTGGCAAATAACTTTTTATTGAAAAGTAAATATCGACAATAATTTCTCCATGTAATTATTACTCCCCATGAGAAAATTTAACGTTCAAACCACCAGAAACTAGTTGAGGTAAAAAAAAAAAACTCTATTACAAACTAATTGTGGTACGCAATTTTTCACTTGGTGATTACCAAAAATTTTCACATTGAGAACGCATGCCATTCAATTGAATAAGACTCGAAAGTTTTTCATGTGATTATCAACTTCTCACTATGCAAAGTAATTTCCAACCTATCGCTTCTCGTTCACAATAATTTCTCACAAATAAAGAAGTTCAAACATATCATAAACTAGTAACTTCTTTATACTATAATTTTTGTATATATATAAAGCAAATATTTACTTTGTCGGTAAGCTAGCAGTAGTTTATTCATGTAAGTTGTGACATTTCCCATTAACAAGATAACCACAGATTTGTCTGTAATTACTGATATTATTAGGAATGATTAATGATTGTCCCATAAAAACAGTGATTTTCGACATGAAGTAATTACACGATTATGAGTTTATAACCAGTAATTTGCGCTGATAGATGTTCTCTCTGTCTTCCAGTATGATCCTGGAGAACCGCCCCTTCAGCAATGAACAAACCCAAATGCAGAAAGCGCTTGCTCAGGTGACATACAGGCCCTTCCCTGCTAATCATTTCTCCATACCAGTTTCGCATCATGAGGCAATTCACAAGGTGAACAATGCATTCGGACCGAGTGATCCAAAACAAGATGAAACAAGAGTTTACGATAAATTGACGATTTCAATCGATCGATTTCAGGATGCTGGAAATGAATTCTTTTAAATATACATCTCTGTAGATCCACATTTTCTTCAGAGAAACTAATTCACAATTGAAAACGAAAAAATAACAAAAATCATCAGGAACAAAACTTAATCGGATGAGCAGGCGCCGGAAAACTTATGCAACGTGGACCCACATTTTTCTTGCTAATAGACCTAACGAATGATGGGTGACTTGGCAGGTAATTCTACAAGGCCACACTCGCAAACTATTAAAGCAATCACCTTTTTCCTCTTATGACATGCCATATTTCCAGGGTTGAATTCACACTACCATTTTCCATCTCCGTCGCAGTATCCCGGGCAATTCGCCTGAAGAATTGTTAGCGCTGTCTTTTTCTTACATCTTATTTGCTTCATCCATTGTGTCGTATTGCCTCCAGCAGCTAAACTTTACCGGTTTTCAATATTTGTTCAGGCCTGTATAATGTGCAGAGACATGAGAACAATTTGAAATTATAAGAAAGACTGCTCAAGATTGACTAGTATGGGCACATTCATTGCGATGCTTTTTGGTGAGACTAAGTTTGGACAATTCAAATGGTTTAATACTACAGCCTTCCCTAAAGATCAGACCCCAAAAAAACATTTTTGTTTCCCTTTCTCAGCAATAATATTAATGGAGAAGCGTAGGAAGAGTTCTTACGGGTGTGTGAGGGATCTGAAGAACAATGAAGGAAATGGAATACAGAGCTACAGAAATGCCTATGCCGGCAAGAAAATTGGACAGCAGCTTCTTATCATCTTTTGTCGGTACAAAAACTCCCTTCAACGTATTGGTCAATACAAAGAGACGGTGAGAAACCTGCAAAAGCAAGCCAAGTAAAAGAAAATCCCAAATTGTTAGATCTATTTAAACAGTCAAATAAAGTTTTTCGTGTTTAAGATTCAAGGGAGGCAAGGCCTACAAGAACATATATCGCAGTTGTCAGCATGAAGTTCAACATAGGATAGTCTGGGATGAGAGAAAGAAGCCATTTAGGCTGTCCATTTGGCGAGTTCGATCTGCATAAGAAAAAATATATATTAGAAAGGCGCCTAAAATGATGGAAGAGTGCAGGCATACTTTAATCTTTGGACACTTGGAAATTTCTACTCATGCCAAAACAATGTTTGCTTTCCCCCTCCGCAAGGAGAATATAACAGCCATTATAATTTCGTTAGTTGTGCAATTTTGTATTTAAATCCTTACTGCACTTTATTATGCAGTACTTTCTTCAAAAAGACTACAATAGATTCTATCTTAAAGTTTATAACCGAATCAAAAGATAAAATCATTAATAATATTAGAGCCAAAGAAACAAATGCCAACAAAATTTTAAGCATACAGAGAGCGCGTCCTCAGTAATAGACAGAAAATGACATTACATACCTCAACCAGATGTGGAACTGGGAAATATATGTCTCCAATGTAATCTTGCCAAGCCACCTATAAATACAAGAAATGCAATTAAAAAGGAAGCAATAGAAGTGTCATATGTGCAAAGAGACTTTATCCTTCGTTTGTCCAGATAAGAGATAAGTTGAACATACGCGAGGAGAGTCAAAGAATAATTCCGGAACTGCTGAGTGAAATTTCGCAAGCAAATGTATACCCTGAATGAAGCAAACGGATATTAGAGCATGATAGAGAATAAATGGAGAGACTTGTAAATGCTCGAGAGAGTAAAAGAATGGCAACTCGACACCCACGTGATAGGAATCCAGGATGTGTAAGGGTGGAGCTTGTTGTATGTCACTTTGTCCAGTCTGTAGATATATTCATACCACAGGTAACCCACCTACAAGTTAACCGCGTTAGTCAACTGACCAAAAACTAAAGCTGCAAGAAAAAGGAGCAGCACAACATGAATGCAGTTTTAACTTGGAAATATCAACAAATACCAGCTAGGATCCTAGGATGCAACAGTGAATACGATAATTCAACTCACAAATACGGCAACTGCAACGATTCCCGATTTTATTGTGACCTTTCTCTTGTTTTCCAGTTCCTCCAGTTTCTCCATCCATCTCTCAACCTAAGTTAATTAAAAAGAGCTTCAAGTCTGAAACTTCTAAAATAATAAGACCTAGCAACCTTAAAAATTAAGCAGGCATTACCGTCGGATGGTAATAGGCATATATCATTCCAATGATCCAAATGTAACGATCAAGTCCGGATCTAAAATGCCACTCATGCAATCGAGGCAGATCAGGTTTTGCTGGATCAGTATATCCTGGGAACAATAGAAACGGCATGATGCCATCAACAGCCAAAGAGGGAAAGGGCAATTAACATTCAATAACTCAGATAGATAAACTCTGCTCAAGATGTAAGAAATACATGACAAAAGCCAGAGTAATGCGAATGCATAAAGATAAATCTATTAAGTCTAGAAAAAGAACATTTTGTCAAAGACTTTCTCAATAACGATTTTCGTGCAGCCTATGGTTCTTTAAAGATCCTTGGATGTAATCCATATATCAAAAGATCTCTCCACTAATAACAATGAAAGCCTACGGCAAGCATACTGGTAAAGAAGGCAAAAAGATTTACATCAAAGGTTAAAAAACCCACTTCAGTCCCTAGTAAAATTACTTCAATTCCAACACGAAGATTAAGAAAATATCTTTCACTGTCCAAATTTTAGCATTTGCAGCTAGAGAACTCTGAAGTGTGTTATCTCAACAATATCCCCGACAAATTGGAAGGAGAAGTCAATAGAAGTCGCTGGTACCAACCTAATAGAAATGCTAATGGGCCCCAGAAAATTTCGAAAACACCTGGAATCTCCCATATCAATATAACCACCAGAAAGCAAGCAAATATCTTCGCAATCATCACCGATCTTATCTCATTATACTGGTTGAGAATACCCAAGGCTCCATAAACCATAACAGTGAAAAGCGTGTGCATAGGGCAGATGTAGTACAGCATGTAGTCATTGTTGAGAACAATGCAGCAAAATATCACGAAAAAGTTTAGTCGCCACATCATCTGCATGAAATTGATAATAATTCACAAATATGTCAGAGTTCAGTAGACTAAAAGCAGTTGAGCAAGTTAAGGCAGTACGAAGATTAAAGCTAAGGAATGATGACCTGAGCAAAACGAGCAAGACTGAAATCCTTCCTAATGTAATAATAGGAAAAATTGCCAAATCCCGTCATCCAAACATATGCAGCAATAAATACACGGATCGCGTTGTAAATTTCTGCTGCTGCAAAGTAGTGATACATCAAAAAGAGAACCTGCAAAACACAAAGAAAACAGGCATGCAACATTAAAATAAAACCCGCTTCCTTCAGGTAAGTGACCTGTACATTCACAAAAACACCGGAAAAAAAAAATCAAGTGCCCTCAAAAAAGCCAAAAACCACAGGCACTCATAGATTGACTTATGAACCATGCATTAAACCCGAACATTAGCCTGGTTCACAAAGCCTACCTAAATCTGAAGTGTATTAAAATACATTAACAGATATCAAGAACAAAGAGCATATTTTGAGCTAAGAATTACCAGATGACACGCTTCTTTACTTATCACAAATTGCGATCATTTTAGGTGCAAGCTTACCTCCACTTGGCAAATAAATCAGCGAAAGTAACAATAGCATGGTAAGGAGTCACAATCAGCCAATACCGATGCCATAAAGCAAGGACAAAGTTGACTTCCAGATTGTACTGTCTTTATTTATTTATACGAGTTCCAGATTGTACAGTTTCTATTTATTTAGTACTGAAAACAATGCATCATCTTACTCTGACTCGGAGATAATAAACCTGCAAGAAAACTTGCCTGCATCCATCCTTTCCATTCCTCAGTCTGATGCCTATTAAGGTAAAGAATGGCTTTCCCAGAAAATGCTGACTTGTCGTTATGCTTCTTCATTGAAGTCATCGCTGCTACAATGAGGAGAAGAGCATAGAGAAAGAGGAAAAGGTCCCTATTGTAACTCTGTCCAAGGAAAATAACAATATCAGCTGACCAAGCACGTGACACCATTCAAAAAATAAGAGACACCAACAATATGACTCACATTGGATATTTCAGGACAAAATGTCATTCAGCAGTGCCGTCATTTTGCTAGTTAATAAACATGTCAACTGAATGCTACCAAAATACATGAAGAATATTTCATTCGACTCATCAGGAAATAAAAAAACCAATTATGCTCCCCTTTCTATAATTACAGTTGCTGGACAGAAGTACAACTTCAGAAAGTAGCAAAATCCACTATTACCTCTAAAGATAGTAAAATAGCAATAGAAAGCAGAAAAATCATTACCTTCGTAGAATCTCCCAATATATTCGTTCGATCACAGATGTAGAAGTAGAATAAGACTGCTCCAAACTCAGACCTATACAATGAGCATACTCATAAGAAGTTGTCAAGAGAGTAATTGCACCCAAATCAATGTATTCATTCGATCGCAGATAGAGAAGTAGAATAATACTGGTCCAAACTCAGACCCATACAATGTGCATACTTATAAGAAGATCCCAAGAAAGTAATTGTTCCCAGATCAACCACTCACATTGCTCTAAGAGTTGCTCGGTTCTCTAGCAAGAAAGAGTCGTCCATTGTCAAAAACCTAAAACAGATTCAGAACTGATATAGTAAGTAAAAGACCTAATAAATTGGGAACTCCATGAGAGTACAGCATAATAAAGGAAGCACCTGATCAAATTTGTTTTAATGGATGAACTATGAAACTTTGCAGAGGCTGATCTGGGAAGGCCTCCTTCCAAAAGAACAGCTCGATCTTCTTCCTTGGCAGTACCATTTCCCAATTCCACCAGATTATTGTCTGAGTGCCTATAGCCAAGAAGCCAATTATTCAACACCGAATGCAATTCAATAGTTCATTGAAAGAATTTAATGACATTTGAGTATCAGCTCATATCAGTATCGTTTGCTAGAACTATATCCCGCTTCCTATTTCCGACAGAACTGGAGGAAGGCATGAGCATGTGCCCACACACATCTCCTCATAGTAGTATCAGAGAAATTACAGACGTATCATCATAGCAGTACCAGAGAAGTCACCTGTTACGTGCATGCACATCCAAAGTTGTTGCACAAATCTACATAGACTCATGAGATGTGTGCAACTCATTCTGTTAAATATTGAGATCTAACACCTTGGTCAGAAACAGTCACCCTAGCAAATCCAAAGGGAACTATGGAAGGAAATGAATCTCAACCATTAAGTGCCCCCTGTGTCCTTGCAGTTACTGAGTGTTTACATGCTATTTTAACTTCCCCTGTTCTTTAGGTCGATGGCCACTTGAATAGCCATTCCAATTCCTCTTTCTCTATATATATCGTAAAACTTGAATTATATGTGCCAAAATCAACTATCAAGAAAATTATTTTGTAAATGAGTTGCCATTCCCTTCTTCTTCATGAATTGCTTTTACCGGTAAAAGACGAGAAAAAGGAAAAGCTTAATCTGCATTAATTCATCTTTTCAGGATTCCAAGATTAACAAAGATTTGGGCCAGCTTTTAAGGGGAAAAAGTGAAACTATTGAAAGGACAACTTGCTGGTTTTAAGATTTGGACATGTTACATGAATATTTCAACTAACATTATAACTGTAAAACAATATAGTTGGTGATCACGACGACTATCCATTATAATTGACTTGTCTCTGAGCTAATAACCAAACACATTGCGTTTCATACCCCAGAAGGATCCTACTATTGTCATTGACTTTCCAACTGTCCACGTTAAAAGAAACTTCTTAACCCCTTTCCAATATCACCTCTCTCCCATCTCAACAACTTTTCTGGTAAAATACAAACAAACTATGTGAAGTCACAGTGATTCAGTTTTGAATGCTCGCAGGTGAAGGTCTCTTTTTTTTTTTTTTAAACCAAAACAGGCGAAGGTCTCATTGAAGACTTCTTTTTCAAGAAAAACCAGTGCAAGGAGGAAAAATTTAATGAAATGAATAACATGCCAGCTTTAAATTCTAGAAGACAACCCAATCATTAGTCATATGCAATCAACCTTAAGAAAGAGTTGGCTTGATGATATTGAAAAACTTACACTTTGGAAACCGAAGAGGACTTCCTGAACTCCAGCAATTCCGAATATATCCAGGCGATAAATACTGGGATGATGCCAAGTAAAAAAGACACCTGCAGCATGATTACGAATGCTTTCATTAGTAAAACCAGTGTTTTTCATTACAGATGCATATACATGCCCGTACACATGTAAACGCTGTCTAGATATTTCATCAAAAAAATGCTTGAATAAATAGTCCTCATTGATGCAAGCAGAATCCTCACTGGGTCCTCAATTAATAGACTAAACCTATCATATATTATGAAGGTATACCAGTTTAAACACATCCACGTCTACCAGTAAGCAGATTCGAAATCAGCTAATAATCTGCTACAGACGAATCTGGCACTAGGAATGAAAACCAATACTTGGCAGTAGATGTATGAATGTATGAATGATGATGAAAAATTAGAGGAACATAGCAAACATAAATGAACAAAGTGAATGAAAAACAGGTTAAATCATGATATGAAACAGCTGGCAGAGCCCCAAGATAACCAGCTCAATCCTTCAAACTTCCTAACATAGTAGGAAAACACATCCAGCACATAGGAAGAGAAACACCGCATATATCATCCGGAAGCATATGTATCAAAATATACACTCCGTGGCAATATCACACTAGATTACACTAGAAATGGTACTAAGACACTTCCAGATTTGAAACTGTGCAAAACTGCTCCAAACTTGTATAATCACACACAATGTCAGAGTTTTAGAAGCCTCATTCCTCCCAACACATGGAAAACAACACTGAATCACAGCAGAACCCCATCGCACACGAGAGATAACTCAGCAATCACACCACTTTTCATCGCCCGGTGAATCACACGCCATTCCCACGACCCAGGAGGGGAAACAAAAACCCAAAACTTCTCTCTGCGGCTTTCGGGTAAAGCAAGAAAGCCCCCATCAACAGCAGTGTCCAACGCTCTACGGGGATCACGCGCGCAGCGATCCATTGAAAAAACATCACCGAATAATTCCACCAACACCACACAGATCACGGCAAAAATGCCAACACTTGTCCAAAGCTCACACAGATCGAGGATCAGAAACACAACGGATAATCCATAGAAACGGAAAACCGGCACCGACATCCACACCCCACCAGGATTTGACCGGAGACCCCAGCTCCCGACACGCAAGAAAACCGACCGACATTGTCACCGAATCGGATCCCGACGACGGGATCAAGAAAGCAGGCCCCACTACCTGTCCAGCCGTGATCGGCGCCGAGACCACCATGCTTCCTCCCACCCCTCCTCGAATGCCGAAATGGGGCGGACCCAGAATCGCGAATCGGCAGCAGACGAAGCGGCGGCGGCGGGGCACCGGCCGGTCCTCAACGAGCCAAAGGGTACCTCGAGACCACCACCACCACCGAATCGCGCGCAGAGAGATCCGAGGATGGAGATGGTCACCGGATATGAATCTTGAAGAGACGGATCATATATACGAGACGGGGATGTGACGGTACCGGGGATCGCGAGGTTCCAACGAATCTGGGGGAGGGGGAAGAAGAAGAAGGGGAAAGATTGCTTGGAGGAACGAGAAGGTTTCGGAGGAGACGTCGCTCTCGGCCCGTTCACCGTCTGTTCGGACGCGTGCGTGGCGGTGGTGGTGGGTGGTGTGGCGTAGGGAGAGTGGTTGGGGGTCTTCTCCGTCGTTGCACTGTTCTTTTCATTTCACCAGAAATGAATATTAACTCCAATTTAAAAATACATGATTTAGTTTGGTTCTTAATCTTATCGGGCGGGGTCCAAAGCCGCCAAAAATCTCAAACTTGTACCTATGAAATAGGTTTACCATTTTCCGTCGATGTACTGCCAGCGTGGATGCCGGGAAGCAAACGATATTGACACGTGGCTCGTTTTGGCCGGAAGATCTTATGATAAGGGTGATCGGTTTTTCGATTCGGTCCGATTTCTGGAATTAGGGATCAGACTGGACCACCCCGGGACCGGTAATCGGACCGTCCGAAAGCCGGTTCCACTTTTAGGAACCGAGAACCGGCTCGGCACTCCCGAGAACCGGATCGACCGGCCGGTTCGGTCCGAGTTTTTGGTTAGGTCGGTCCATCTTGCTCACCCCTACTTCTTCTTTTTTTGGTCGAATTGGTCACTCCTACTTGATGGAGGGTAAATGTGCTGCGTAGGTACAAGTTTTGAATTTTTTTACATCACAAGAAAAAGTTTAAGGTAAATGTGTCATGGCAAGTATAATTTAGGGTTTTTAATATCACAATAAAAATTCATAATAAATGTGTCACGCTTAACGTAATTTGAGGTTTTTTGTGGCTTTTTTTCCTAATTAATCAGAGTAAATTATGATAGTATGTGAGCCGGTGAATCTACCAAACATATAATTATTACTATTATTATTACTATAATTAGTACGGAGATTTAAGTGCTTCCCTCGTGGGTAATTTTTTTTTAATACACGGCCGATCGCATGTGCATTGGAAATCTCATGCAAATTTATTTTAATTCGTCACATAATGATCGATCAAATATTATTATTTTTTTATACGTATTTACATGTTCGACACTTGATTAAGATAATCTCGTACGTTGTCGGCATTCGCATAATTATTAGCGTAGGTGCATCTACCTTCGATGGCGATGCTTCCTAGTCCAATCATATCATCAAAGTGCTCATTTATGGAGAAATTTATAAAATGTTGACTTTAAAATTTTTGATTACTTTAGCTTTGATTTACACATAATATTCTCACGACCAAAAAAAAAAGTACACATAATATTCTGACCAAAAAGAAAAGTACGCATAATATGTGCTATTATATTAAGAAAATAGGACCTCTCTACTACTAACAGATCTAAATTATTATTCTTTTTTTTTCGTTCCTCGTATATCCGTAATTATTTGTTTCATTAACATCCGAGCCGTGGGCAAATCCGCTAGTTAATAATCATGCTTTATCTCTCGTATCGTTCAATTGGAATTCGAATATTTTCTAGTCTACAACAATTTTCCTAAAAAGATGCAAATCTTGGTAATCTTTTTATCTTGCCAAATCGATATACACGATTTCTTTGTAATGTATATCTCTCTCTTATTTAATGAAATATTTCTTTCCAATGTCAATTTCTCCCCATTAACTAGTCTTTTTAAACCAAACCAAATGCCATATGAGTTTTTTTATTTTGAATTTCTCTAACAAAGTCAGATATGAAAACGATAGTTTTTTTTTTTTGGTCGAAAAAACGATAGTTCATCTGCTCCATATAGCTTATTGAACATTTACCTAAGCCCGAATTTCTGAATTATAATATCCGGAGCAACATAAATCTATTCTTTTTCATGGTTATAATATTTAGTTCCTGATATGAGATTGCTCTACAAAAAAATAGTGCAAAGGCATAAATGGTACTAAAAACCAACTAAGCAATACAATTTGGATTATCACAAGTCAAATATCAACAATCTCTTGTTTTTCTATAGTCTAGCAGGCATGACCGTAGCCCGTAAAACACTCTCACAAGCCTCATGAAATGATTAAATCGTGCCTTCAACTTATAGGGTGGCCTTAGTCCAGAGCAATTTACATGCACCGCTAGAGATTTGAGCAATCGACCTCCGTATCCCGATCCAAAAATCTCCCAAACACCAGCAAAAAAAAAAAATCACTGACAAATGCATTCATAATCATGAAGTACTAAATATCATGAGTTGTCTTATTGTCTTTCAAACCATGATATGATGCTCCAGCCAGCAATTGACTATTTCTCATAAGGTTGTCTTCACCGTTAGATGCTTGACGGGCCCACAAACATCTATGGTCAAAATCCTACATCAACATTTGCCACCAAGAAATCCTTCATAAGCATCAGAAGTGAGCTCGTTCAAAAGTCAAATATTTGACCAATGTAGGTGCTACATCTTTGTGCCACAAGTACCAAAAAATCTATCTCTATATAGAATTTAAAGGTAATTTTGATTGAGATATATACGATTGGTAGAATATTTTGACTAGATTCCAACTTCTTGAAGCATTTTCCCCTTTTTTTGACTAGCCCTTCATGTTGGTTTCTTAAGGTTAATTTCATAACACTTTTTTTTCCAATAATTTGAGTAATGGCACTGCTAATCCCGACAATTTTCAATTTGTTCCATATCATCTCTATTTTTTTGTTTTTGCCAATGTGATCTCAAAACTATATGTTTCTTGTTAAAATGGGTTGCAATTAAAAAGGCTACGGAATTGCTAACACAGCCCGTCAAGTTATTATTTGATGACGTGTCATTCGAAACTAAAAGGAATAAAAAATAAACTGATATATTTTGAAAAATTAAAAAATAAAATAGATACATAAAATACTGAAAAAGGAAACTTAAAAAGAAAAAAAGAGCAAGTGGGCTTCGTTCTTAAAATAGATAATCATTCTATTCCGAATGAAACTGAAATAGATTTTCTCATTTCTGCCTCCCTGACTAAAAGTAGCTTAAAAAACCCGTTTCGATAACGATAAAAATTTACATTTACTGTAATGTAAAACTTGTTTGATAACAAAGCACAAAATTTCTATTTCCCGAAATAAAACCGTTTGATAAACAACAGAAAATTTATTTCAGAACAAAAATCCATTTTTTTAAAATGGAATAAAAATAATAAAAAATCCGAAAAATTCATAAAATCTTTAAAAAATTCACCTAAAAAATTAAATTTCACTCAAAGTGGGTGGCACAGGTATTCTAAGCAATTATGTGAAGTTTTTATTTTTTCGGCACCTAAAAAATTTAAATTTCGCTTAAAGTGGATGGTCACGGTATTCTAAGCCATTTTGTGAAGTTTTGAAATTTTTTTTTTTTCTTTTTTATTTTTTCGCACCTAAAAAATAAAATTTCATTAAAGTGGGTGGCCAAATTTTAGCCATTCCGTAAGTTTTGAAATTTTTACTTTTTGCTTATTTTTATTTTTTGGCATACAAAAAATTTAAATTTCACTCAAAGTGGGTGGCCAAGTATTTTAAGCTATTATGTGAAGTTTTGAAATTTTTATTTTTTTATTTTTTCGGCACCTAAAAATTTAAATTTCACTCAAAGTGGATGGCCACAAGTATTCTGCCATTCGTGAAGTTTTGAAATTTTGATTTTTTATTTTTTGGCACCTAAAAAATAAAATTTGCTCAAATTGGGTGGCCACGGGTATTCTAAGATATTCAAGTTTTTAAATTTTAGATTTTTATTTTTTTGGCAACTAAAAAATTAAATTTTGCTCAAAGTGGGTGGCCATAGGTTTTCTAATCCATTTTGTGAAATTTTGAAATTTTTTATTTTTTTCGGTACCTAAAAAATTTAAATTTCATGAAAGTGGGTAGCGATTCTAAACCATTCGTTAAGTTTTGAAATTTTTGATTTTTGCTTTTTTTTTCTCACCTCAAAGATCGTGACTTCCATATGAATATGTGTGTTGAAGAAAATGAATTCTCAGAAATGGTTCTCACTTTTGTTCCGTAAATGAAAAACTTTTTTTGGTTCTCATTTGTTTAATCGTTTTGGAAGCAAACTGTCGGAAATAGAAAAATGAAATTGCGTTCAAACGGTTTGGTCAAACGATTCAACAAAATCGTGGTTTTCATCAGCACCCAGCCGCTTTCGGCTGTGCATCGCCGACACGTGGTGACGATCGGCAAAGGGTCGCTGCGGTTATGCGACCTAACAAGACTCTCTCTCTCTCCACGCATGTGGGCTTGCATTGGTGATTGTGCTCTGGTCATTAGAGGTCAACAAGCCCTCGTAGCCCTGGTCGATCCTGCCGATCGCCAGCATCGCTGTCATTGCCACCACCCTTGCAACTTCCTCCCTTTCCTACGTTTTCTATTTATCGTTACGGATGAAGGATATTTCTCCAATTTTCTACTATTTTGGCCCACTCGGCATAAAAGCAAATCCATGTCATCGCTTGTTGGTCTAGTCACTGCTGACGTGGCACTAATATGACAGTTCACATTAGCATTCCATTTGAATTTTTAACCAAAGAACTAACTTAAACCAAAATACACATAATTCAGAGACCACATTAAAAAACCAAAAAGGCTAGCGGAGCCATAATCCCTAACTTCGTAACATATTGAATACGCACACTAATCCCTATTACCATAATTAGTTATATTTGCAGCCAAATTGAATAGTTCCAGCATTGATAACAACTTAGCTTGGAATTCGATGTGATAAGGAACCCCTAACCACTAATATAAGAAATGAAAGTGGCCTAACCGCACTAAAATTAAGTGAAAAATTAATAAAGACTTGAATTTGAATTGGTCATTAAGAAAGACACAAAGGTCAAGTCCATGAGTCAAAGAAACCTTGCTTGGTACAATAAGCAAAAGTTT